GTGTGTGTGTGTGTGTGTGTGTGTGTGTGTGTGTGTGTGTGTGTGTAATGATGTGTAATGGTGCATGCGTACGTGTGTGTAGTTGTGTTTCGGTACAGACAGACAGATAGAAGTGATGCTGGGGGAGAGGGGGGAGACGGGCAGTAAATGAATTTGATTGTGATTTGTGAAAACCAATAGGTCTAAGGTTTTTGCTAGTATCGCCATCATAACTGTGCCCGGAGTTTTATGCACCCCGCATACTTTTGACAAATTTGATCATTTTTGGGGGCATAATTTCTTATTATTTACCTTCAACATTCTTTGTTAAAATTAATAGAATCGCATAATTTCACATTTTTCTGCTCATTTTGCATAATTTCTGATTTTTTGTGTGTGCATAAAACGGCGGGGACAGTCAGAAGAAGAGTTGAACAGTATTTCGCACGATGAACGGTAGTAAAATTATTTTAGTTGCCCCTCTGCGAATGGATTTTAGAACGAAGAAAGCGAGTGTAAACAAACCAAAAGCGTGACGTGGAACACACCATTATGCATCATCGGCTCATCGGTGTGTCCACCTGTGGTAAAGTTCAAGTGGTATTGCTACAGGCAAGGAACAACCCAACCCTATCTAAAAGCGTCGGTCTTGTATGAAAGCAGCCGAAGACAAGAACAGTCCGAAAGAGCTTGATTTTGAAGCACGTGGCCCGTCATCGATAACCAGACACAACGTAGGTGCACACAGATTTTGTTTACCTTTTTTTCCCTTTTTGTTTTTGTTTGGTTTGGCCTTCATTTGTTGACCCTAGTGACTCTTTCCCTTCTTCTTCTGGCCTAGGCCAGGTCAAGATTAGACTGAAAACTAGAGTATAAGATAATAGGACAAGATCTATTCATAGTTATGATCCCTAATGCCTAATATTTTGCTGAGTTTAATTTACCGTGTCCTGGGCAAAGTCGAATACATTGTCACGTACTCATACTTATCATACCTTGCCTTGGATGTAGATCTACTAAAGTACTTCTACTTAATGACTTAAATGCTATGACATCACATTTAATTTAATCCATGGATTGATCATTGTACTGTATGTCTTGCCAAAGTTCATCAGGTTTTGACATTTTAAAAAGACTGGATTGGGCACTAGGCGCCCACTAGGCCTACTGTACGGTTGTGGTCCCGTTTGCACTAGAACACTAGACAGAGTCTAGATCTAGGCACACCCTAAGTTAAGTACCCCCTGTAGATCCAGATCTAGTAATTTTTACGTATTTCTTTTTTAGATTTCTAGATGTAAACTGAATAAAAATTATATCTAGTTTAGATATAGATCGAGAATATAGATTCTAGATCTAGACTATATTCTAGAGATAGATTATCATGGCTATCTAGATCTAGATCTAGATCTAGATTCACTCCCACAATATCAATATGGCCATCATGTAAACAAACGGGACTGCAATTGTACAGAAGTGCCCTAGATTGATATTATAGGCCAAATATTTGATAATTTGGGCAGGTTTTACAGTAGTACAAGAGTCTTGCCATTCCCAAATCATAGTCTAATGAACGTGCACTACAATGGAACCCTCTTCACGTTATAGCTGTGCCAAAATATAGACAATCAGCTGAGCTGTCACTTGACCTGTGACCTTTGACCAACATATGTAAAATCTCAAGTGTTTTGTACATTCCCAGGCATTTTGTAGGTTATTTACTTTATCTTTGTGTTTTGACTTTTTATCAAAGCTTAGGCCAAGGTCTATTTCTTTCCTTTAAAATTATGATTTAAGTTTATAAGGAAAAGTGTTTGTCTGTGCAGACTTTGATAAAAGGTAGGCCTAACCTTTTTTAAGTGTAGGCCACTTGGCTGGGGGTATTTTTCCTATGACATTGCTTCTAAAACCCTTTTGTTGCCAGGGGGTATGCGTTCCTACTGTCAGCACTGATTTTCAGGTTACCCAGGCCAGCAGCCTAATGTCTCAGTGTTAATGGACGCACGGTTTTGATCTAGCTACTCGTGACATTTTCGGACGTCGGGTTTTTGATAGTGTCACTTTTCTTCCCCATTTCCTCCCATCTTACTCATAGTATCAAATAACCTGCTAATCAAAGTCAAAAAGTGAATTTATTAACCTTTTAAAATTAATTTCGGTGTTTGCGTTTTACGAGAGCACACAGCCGCCCGTGTTTATCGATCGTTTGAAAGCCTAGCAGTAAAGAAATAAAGGCAAATTTGATACCGAAAAAATGCGCTTCTTTTATTCCCGAATACGAATCTACACCTGGCTTGCGGCTAAAACTCCGCACAGAAGAATTAAAGTCAGGTTATTAGCATGATGTACATGTAACGTCATACAGGCAACCAGGAGCAGCAAATTTTGCCAACTTCCATGACGTACATGGTATGGCACAGCGCTAAAAATTGGGCATTTTCATGACGTAACAGGTACTTCACAAGCAGAGAAAGTACTTGACGTTTTGCCGTTTTTAGTCTCTTCCTTTCTTTCTTGCTGTTACCCCTAGTAATAAACAAAGTTACCCTCCAGTGAAAAGAATATTGTGGAATAATAACTGTGGACGACTACATATTGAACTGTTATTTTATTAGGATATATATATA